CCAGATTTAAGCAGGACCTAGCGGATTATACGGTACCACAGGGCAGGAACACGCCCCGAAAAAAATTACTCGGATTCCTTCTAGACATGCGACGCCCGCTTGTCGCCCAGTAGCACCCAGTTCCCCTTTTGGTGGTAGGTGCCCGTGTTGGAGTTTCAAAAAGCGCCTTCTGTGGTTGGACGGGTTGCTGAGACCCTCCAATATGGAAAGGCTGCGGTGGACTGCTTGAGAGCAGAGGGCAGCAAGAAACCCGTGGGTTAGACATCTCTTTGCGGGTGGGCGTACTCTCAGTCAACTTTCCACTCGAAGAAAGCAAATGGAGCAGCCTCAAACCCTTTGGGGGATTGGAGAGGGCTGTTTGCCATCTCCAGCCTGACAAAGGCTTGGCAACGAGCCGCAGCGATCAAGAAAGCAATCAAGCAAATGGCCCACATCTGGGGTGCACCAAAGATGACGCTGTTTAGATTATGCGTCGGAACGTGCTGCATAAGCTTCAGAGACGCCTGCAACTTGAGATCACTCCTCATCGTGCTACTCTGTCGTGAGCCAGCCCGAATTTGACCAAAGCCCGGGGCAGCTTGTTGATGTGCGCCACAAACCTCAGCATGTGCCCCATGGCTTCAGCGGTTCCAGAGGCTCGCGGGCTCAACGACCACAACTGCCACAAATCCCAAAACTCTACGCTGATTTTTCGCGGCCAAGGGAGGACCTCAGGGCAAGATCTATTTGGAAGGACTCCAACAGGGAAAGTTAGCGGATTTTGCCGGATGCCTGCAAAGAATCTGAGAACACACCTGTGTGCTGCGAATGCCTTCACCTTGCTCTTCTTTTCTCGGGCCCAGCTATGCTTGAGTTGGACCAGGCAACCATCCATGGTTTTGAACCCATTGACACGAACTGGGTTGATAGGCCTATGTAATGCTCTTCAACGTGGAATTCAATCTTTGTACTTCATTGAAGCAGCTATGAGGTGTGAACATGTGGGGGTTGGTCAAAAGGCCGCTAAATGGAAAAAGTGTCCCATGGTCGTATTGGGGCCTTTCAGGGAAGATTAATCAACCCGCATGTGGGTGGTTCCTACAGCAGGGCGCATTAAAAAAAGGGGAAGAAGAAAAGCCCAGGGAAACCAACCCCCACACACGCACACACACACACACCCACGTCCGAAACCGGGTTGACCTTTGAATCGGAGGGATTGGGATCTGGGTGTCCGGCTGCACTTTGTCCACCTCCTCGATGGCCGCCAGCGCCTGCGTGTGTCACCGCCGTTTCAGCTCGCCAGGGGAAGCAACCGCCGTAAGTGTGGCGCTCAAAACGAAAGACCTACAACAAACCGCTTGTTTCCATTTAGCAAGGTGCCATGTTTGTACATTTGTTGGAGCCACTGCCCAAAGATGTGGAGGTACCTGGTGCACCACCTGGCAGAATTCTCCGCTTTGAGCTTCCTCCGTGCATCACCATATTACCCCCCCTTTGTCCACAAGGAAGCTGTGGCTCAAATCTGGGGAGCAAAACAAGTTCATGCCCAAAGGAAAAGTTCTGTCAGGATGCGCCCGAACAGTGTGAACTTGTCTCCAACTAGTACTTGAAGCCTGCCTTTAAGCCAAGCCCAAAAGGATACCCCTCGCAAAAGAAAAGGCAAAACCCATTTTCCTCCACTTTCAACTTTTCACCCAAAACGCCAACACGGAGCAGTCCTTTTTGGAGTACCATTGCCTGAAATTTCTCTGGACTCACCCAAGAAATAGCAACGGATTGGCCTTCCGACCCATGCCTGTCGAAAAGGGCGCGATCTTCAAGGCTCATTGGCCATCGCTTCCCCAGAAGCTGCAACCAGTGACTCCCTTTCCTGGCCAGTTTTTGTGGTTCCGAAAACCTACCAAACAAGAAGCGACAAACAGGGTGGGATCCACTGAACCATGTAAATCTGCCAGACAAAATGCCAGACAACCCTCCAAGACGGCCAAGAAACAGCCACAAATACTCAGAAGCTCACCCCTCAAACCAAACCTCCCCGAAAATCCCCCAAACCTCCCCGCCCTTCCCCCCAAACCTTCCCCCGCCCCCCCCAAACCCCAGCCGGATCAGCAGATCTCGATTTGGAGCGCAAATGGCCAGGTTTTTCTATGATCCCATATAAAGAATGAACATCCGCGGCCGGCTTGGCCAAGGTTCCCCAAAAAAGGCCATCACCCCCACCCCCCCACCCTCACCTCCCTCCCCCCCACCTCCCTCCCCCCAACCTCCACCCCTGCCCACCCCGCCCCCATCCTCGGGCCCCCCAGCAATCTCCACAGTGTCCAGGGCCCGCTGGTGGATGGCCATCGCCTAGAAACTGCTAAAACCGAGCGGCGCCTCGCCACTCGGCGTGTTACGATCTGCTCAGCTTGATATCGGTGTTGGACCACCATGTTAACAATAACAACGATAGGGATGATGATGATGATGATGATGATGATGATGATGATGATGATGATGATGATGATGATGATGATGATGATGATGATGATGATGATGATGATGATGATGAGGGTGATGATGAGGGTGATGATGGTGATGAAATTCGAACCATTGAAGCAAAAACACAGGTTTTGTGCCAAAGTGGTAGTCCCAAACCCGCGGATTCGCAGGAAAACTGAGGCAAGTTGGGAAGCCTCACGCATCCTCCCCAAAACAAACCATAGACGGCCAAAATACTGTTAGCTGCTCATGCACCGGTCAAACAGAAACAAATATCAGCTACCAACAATTGGGAGGGGTTCCCAGTTTTGACGCGAGCCATGGCTTCTGGTCAATAAAAAGCATCTCAAGGTGTTCCCCGTTTTCTCGCTGACATGCGCGAGCTGGATGAAAGATCCTGAGACCCTAGAAGCCTGGGCATTGCCCCGCTCTGACACATTGTCTGTGGACCCTGTTGCCACCCTTTTCGGTGGCTGCGCTTCAACGCGCGCTTTGGCGCCTTTGGCCCAGTTGAGTATGCGACTTGTCAAGACAGCAAACTCTCAAATGGCGCTACTTGAAGCTTCCCTTCAAGCAAACATAACCCACTCCAATGGGCCGAAACTCCAACTCTCGGCACACCGACTCAAACCAGCCCCAAAGGAAATCATTGGCTTGAAAATAGGGCTTTGGGGACCAAGCAAATCCACTTGGAAGCCTGAAGGTGGTAGTAAAAGAGTTGTGTTGGATACTTTCAAGGGAACTCCCGGAGAGTATCAACCCGAAGCCCTATTGTCAACCCGTAGCCATCACGGTGATAGGGAAGTCCAAAAACCCGCCGCTTGATCACCTCCACAGGAATTTCCGACAACCTGTATGATCACGTCAATGGGCATTCCCGAAAACCGGACATCTCCGGAAATGCCGCTTTTCGATTCCCTGTGAATGAGGCATGTCAGTTTCGGGGGAATTCCCGTGAACGTGATCAAGCTGTCGTCGACGGGCTTTCAAACGACATGTTTGATCACAATTCCCGGGCTTCCCAAAAACCCATTCATGTGAAACAATTCGTCAAGCTTCTTACTTCCCTCAAACCAAAAATCTCAGACCTCCTCTTTGCCCTCGTTGGTTGGGTTTGCATGCGTTTGCATGGGTGTGCATGGGTTTGCATGGGGTTTGGTTTGCATGGGTTTGCATGGAGCTTGGTTGGCTTGAGATTTGAGTTGGGCTTGGGTTGGGTTGGGCTTGGTTGGCTTGGCTTGGCTTGGGCTTGTTTGGCTTCGTTTTCCCCGCCCTCGCCATCTTGCTCGGAGCCCTTCGGCCAAGGAGCAGCCAGAGAGGCCCAGAGCTCCGGGGACTTCACGAATCTGCAGAGCCGCACGGCCTGGCCGGAGCTGGTCGCGATCCTTTTTTCCTATTTCATGGGAACCCAAAGGAAAACAGGGCCAGTGAACCCTTGAAAAAAGAACCCTTGAAAAAAGGAGAAAAAGGGCCAGTTGATTTTTTGAAAAAAATGGGAACCCCTGGAAAAACGGGAAACCCAAAGGCCGGTGATTTTTGGGGAACCCCTTTTTCAAGGGAAGCCCAAAGGCCAGTGAAACTTTTTGGGGAACCTCTGTTTGGGTGTTTTGTTGGGAAACCCAAAGGAAAGCCAGCGTGTGGAGGCACCCCAAGTTCGAAGATGCTGGGTTGTCAAAGTTTGAAAAGGGGAAGGTTGTTCCCCTCAACTTAGAACTTCGAGGGTGGAGGCGCGCTGGAAAATAGGATCGCTTCCCTCAACTTAGCTGATCTGTGTTCCATCATGAGGTAAAGATACAACAAGACACACCAGGGTTGTAAGGAGGCGGGTGATTTTGCCGACAGGGCGGTGATGTCAAGACCATGACGCGTGAAGATGGCTTTGTCTCCCATTGCCGACAATTCCTCTTCTGCTCTGCATGGGGTTTGTCTTTGTGTTGATGGTACCCTTCGTGAGGTTGTTTTCAAGGGAAACCGAAGCAAAAGTACCATTGGCGGGGTTCCCTCATGTAAAGACACACCAACAGAAACATGCATCATGCATCATTGGGTCATTGGCGCTTTGCTTTCTGTGCGGGCGTTTCTGCAAAGGACCGTCATGGCAGCTACCTCACTGAGGTTGTGCCAATAAAGAACCATTGGGGCTATAGCTCTGGAATTTCCCTGGCACCCCTGGCTCCCTGGCTCCCTGGCTCCCTGGCTCCCAATGTCCATGCCTAGTTGCCTTCTTCAATGCTGGCTATGGCACAAACTGCAAGGCTGCGGCTCTGCGCACCCCTGCTGTCAGCCATGCAGGTGGAACAGATCGTTTCTGAGAGCGCCAGGCTGGTCCATCCACAACCCCCCGCACAACAAGCAACAGCTGCTTACGTAAGAAGACCATGTCGAGAAGGTTCGGTTCCGCGCGTGAACTTCTTGCACAGCAAGGCTACAAGAGGCCCTAAAAACCGATGTCGTGGGAACTCAGTGCAAATCAATTGCTTCCAATGGATTCCCCTTTTCACTTGTTCTTTTGAGAACTTCATCGTGCACTGTCACAGATCTCAGGACCACGCCTGCTCCCACTGGCCCTTCTCGAAGTGCTGATAAAGCCTCGGTGAGGCGAACGGCGATGCGCCTTCGGCTCCAAACTTCAGAGTCGGCTTGCAACCTGCACTTCACCCCGGCAGGAGGGTTACCGGTGAAGCGGTTCATCCGACGTGCCAGCCCCTTCCGCCCCAAAACGCCCCAAACGGCCACCCCGGGAAAAAAAAATCGTTCACTCGCGAATTGTGTGGCGTCCCCAGTTGCGGCCGTTCCCTGAAACCCCCGCTGACCTGCGCCTGTCTCATCCAAGTCGCAGCTGTGGATAAGGAGTGGTGACCATGGCCTCGCGCATCTGAACCAGAAACGGCTTGTCTTCTTTGAGGGTACCCTCCTTCATGGCTTTGCTGAAAGGGAGCCACAAGGAAAAAACCGCCCATTTTGAACGCTTCTCTCTGTTTTTAGCCATCTGATCCTACTTTCGCTATGCTGCGAGAGAAACAGGAAGTAGGATCAGAGGGTTTTGGCTCAACAGCAGAATTGACCCATCTATTCCTAGTTTCGCTGCTAAGCTGCGAGAGCTCGGTTTGGGGCTCAACAGAATCACTGACCCTTGAGTCTCTGAACATACATACCTTTTGGGGTACTCCTCTTGGCTTAAAGGCAAGCCCTAGGCAAACCACCCATAAGCTCACTTGGTTTTTTTTGGGGGGGAGGGGGGGGGGGGCTGCATTTCTGGTGAGATCTCTCAGCTCCGAGCCAGGTCGGAGCCATCCGCCTCGCGGAGCCGGCTCAAAGATGGATGCGCTAAATCTTGAATCGGGGGACGTTCCCCCCCTCCCAAGAAAAATGGAGGCTCGGAGGTGCTGCCTTGCGTTTGCTTTAGAGAAAAGAACAAATGGCACAGTACCCTTTAAACAAGACAGGAAGAATGAAAGAGGGGAGATGGGTGTCCCTTTCAAGGTAGAATGGGACCATCCGAAAGCACACACCCATATGCCTTAAAATAAGACGTTCCCGCTCTCTGTGAGACCCCCGAATGGCGGCTGAAATTAGGGACCGCACAGACAGTTGGCTCCAAGATGCTCTCCATCACTCCATCGCTCAAAATGAGTGGCCTTTTGAGTAACCGCCAAAGCGGGGGTGGAACCTCATGTCAAGACCAACAAAAAAGGGAGAGAGCCAACAAATGCAAGGCACGCTGAAGTTTAAAAGAAGTGATGTGATGCAGAGAGGAGACTGATGGGAAGACAGCAAGACCAAAGACGGACCTTGGAGGTGTTGGACTAATTGTAAACGCTTCGCGTTGCCCGCCTCGGCCAGTCCGCTTTTGGCTGGCTTTGAGTTAGTTTGCCTTGAAGCGTTGTTTTTAAAGTGAGTGAGTCGTCGCCTTCCTGCGGCAAAAAATGGGACGATCCAAAGACAACAACTGCGAAAACAACGAAGGGTACCTAGAAAACCCTTCCATACCCACGGCCAAGCGAAAGGAAGCGGCTTCGACTCATCCAGGCTCTCAAACCTCTCCCAAACCTGCGGCCCTCGCCTTTCGGATGGTGCAGTTGGAGCCATAGAACGCCACGATCTGTGCATACCTGCGAACCGGGCTGGTCATGCCATACAGGTCAGACCTCTAACGGAATTTCGAAAGGCAGAACAAACATTAGGGATGACACCTCGCTGCTTCGGTGGACCATGATCACTTGGGAGCAAGCGTAACATAAGTTGTCCTGACACAAGCAACCCTGATATTGACTTCAGAGAGGCCACTAACAATGACCACTTTTCCTTCAAGGATAGGACCCTCCACTCCGAGCAAGCCATGCTTGACCAGGATCTACTATGCTTCAGCCCCAGTTGCATCCCTGAAACACAGCGCTCCATATGTGCCCGGCAAACAAAACCCCATGGATGTGTTAACCACCTAAAGTTGTTTCTTATTCTTATGTTCGTTGTTTAGTTTTATTTATGTTGTCTATGTTTATTCTTAAATGTATGTTTATTCTTTATTTTCTTTCTTTTTTGGGGGGAATTCAAGGCGCAACCGAGAGGAAACCGCCCATTTCAGGGGTTCCCGGTTCCAGACCCAGACGTCAACGCGCGCGCCGAAGCCTAGGACTTTGGGTCACGCGCCTAATTTTGGATTTCGGAGAGTCGGCTCTGGGCGCCCCCTCTTGCCAGCGTCTGCGCAGGTCTTGTACTGCTGCGTCTTCAGCAGCAGGTCCTGACAGCGCCCAAAACAAACACCTAGTTCTACTAGCAAGGTGACACACCTCCCGCGCCCAGAAAAGTGACTTCAAGAATAGGTGCCCCTCCTTGAGAACCCCTAAAAATGAAACCACGTGCATGGACTCAGTCGCTGCCAGTGAAACACCCTCCCTTGGTGCTTTTCGGGCATCTGTTTGCGCCATCCAAAAGCATCCCTACCATGGTGTTAAGTGGTCGAACGGGAGGTCGCAGGGCGGGGTTGGCTGGTTGAGGACCATCCCAAAGCGACAGTAGCAGCCGCTTAACCTGAGAAAAGCGTGCCCCACCTAGCCTCTCGCTTGAAGGTGAGGGACCCGAGAACAAACAACTGAGAACGGCGATAGAGAGCGAGCGAGCGAGCGAGCGAGCGAGCGAGAGATAGAGAGAGAGAGAGAGAGAGAGAGAGAGAGAGAGAGAGAGAGAGAGAGAGAGAGAGGGGGGGGGGGCGGGATCCTGCTTGCATAGGGCACCCAAGAAAAATTAACCAGGGTTGATCAATCCTGGGTTCCATTCTCCGCAAAACTCCTTGTCCACAAAACACACCGCCGGATAGATGAACATCACCAGCTTCTCGTCGATAAGAGCAACAAGCCTCGGCACGGCAGAAAGGGAGCGGACTGGTTAATTGCCATGTTGCAAGTGGAAAACGACCACGTCCTCAAGTTTAACAAGTCAATCTACCATCTTTTATGGCTGACCGGTTTAGGCTCGCCAACGCCCCTGGACAAACCAAGTGCAGCGCCTGTACCAGCATACCAAAACCAGGCATGGGATTACTGAAACTCCCCTGGTTTGTCAGGGGTCTTTTTCAACATGTCCCGCCGACTTTTTGCAGAAGGGCACAAACCCCTGTCGAAAGGACGACTTTCCGTGCACTTCCATGTAAGTTGGTGGGAGGAAAACTGAAATGAATTTTGAGCTCGCTTCTGGGTCACTCGCACCAAGGATGGGCGCAGGACTGAGCTTCGGGCATATCGGTGCTGTCATTCCACATGAAGGTATCAACCATGGCACCCAGCTTCTCGGTCTTGTCCTCAGTGAGATGGGTGTCTTTGCAAGAAGCACAACAAAACAACAGACCGTTTTGAAAGAGGTTCCCCCGTATAAGCTTTCGAGGCATGAGCACCTTCTGCCCAGCAAGAAGCGCACAAGGGATGTCTGATGCTTGCCCCAGGGAAGGACAAGAAACCACACAGGCGGCTGTCTCATGCTTTTGCCATGGACATAGGGACGTTCTTCAAAAAGAGAGAGGTCCAATTTTGCACTGGGTGCCTTGTTGTCCCTTATAAAAATCAAGCAAGCCACTAATCGGCGGTTTGGGTGGTTTGGGGTTGAACCCCTGGTTCTTGCAGTGGGTAATCGAGAAACCCCTCCTCAACCACCAATCCACCAATCCACCAATCCACCAAACGGAGGGAAGCTGACAAGACGGCCTCCAAAGGGTCCCAAAAAAAAGGCCTCCCCCTTCTTCAGCAGCACCTCATGGAGGGAAAAAAAAATCGGCTTGAGGCGCCCACGGCCTGCAATGCCTTGGTCAGGTACAAATCCTGGCGGTCTGGTTTAGTGGATATTCATCCTTTTGATGCGCGCACCACATTCAACTTCCAAAGGATACCTTTGATTGAGTGCGTGCTGGAGACCTTTCTCTGGCACAGCGTCATGTCACCTCACCCGCAGTTTTCCCTACCACGCCAAATCGACATCAGGGCATCTCCAATAACACCCGGCGCATTGGATTCTTGCCCTTCCAGGCCGAGAACTCCACGCACCCAAAACATCGCGCGCGCGCGCGCACGCGCGCGCAGCTCCTTGTTCTTGTCCAGGATTGCCACTTTGCGGTCGCTGCCGGAACCTACAGATCGGCAGATCGGCAGATCGGCTTTGTGCCGACGCACCGGGCAGCTTGGGAGCCCTGCCGTGCTGGTTCAGCGAGATTCGGATGATGTCCAGCTTGTGCTGGATGGGATTCCTGAGCGGAAAACTCGGAGAAAGGAGAGCCAGGTTCACTCGCGTGGAGAAATGTCAGGATTTCCTCCGTCCATGGTTGACAACAATCTGTAAGACGCCCATGGCACCGGCGGACAGGAGGCGATGCGCTCAAATCAACTTTCGTTATCCGTGTACAAGCATGACCTGCATCATTCATACCATGCCCGTAGGTGGTGGTCGCCCCACCTAGTCTCCGCGAACCTATTCGGAGTCTTTGACCCAAATTGGTTTCTTCCCCCAAGGTAGGCTTAACCCCCAGAGTGGTTCATTTCCCCGATAAAAACAAAAAGGTGAAGCATTGTTTCATTCCCCAAGGTAGACTTAGCACCCCAGGGTGGTTGATTTTCCCGATGAAAACAAAAAGGCGAAACAGAAGAACCCGGCTCACTCGGCCCGCGACCCCATCGCCCGGCCAGTGAACACATCGAACACGCCTCGGCTAGCAGGCAGCTCAGAAGGGAGAAGAGCTCAGTACTGGACGAGTCCCACAAAAGTAAGGACAAAAAATTGGAACAAGCTCATCTTTGGGCATGATCAACGAAGGTCATGTGGGGGAAGCCCTTATCTTGCTGGTGCGGTAGGCAGGGAATGAGAATTGGAATAACCCCAATTTAAAACTTCCAACTGGTTCCTTTAAGGGGACCCCTGGGTTCAGTAGCTCATTCCCTACTGAGCACCAGCAAGTTAAGGACACTCCAAAGCAGTTGTTGGTTTCCCTTACAACACCATCCAAAATAGGATCTCAATAAAGAGGTATTCGATCAAGTCTCTTTCGCGGGATAACCCACGAATGGCACCCGGCATGTATGTGTCTATGCTTGCTTGCTTGCTTGCTTGCTTGCTTGCTTGCTTGCTTGCTTGCTTGCTTGCTTGCTTGCTTGCTTGCTTGCTTGCTTGCTTGCTTGCTTGCTTGCTTGCTTGCTTGCTTGCTTGCTTGCTTGCTTGCTTGCTTGCTTGCTTGCTTGCTTGCTTGCTTGCTTGCTTGCTTGCTTGCTTGCTTGCTTGCTTGCTTGCTTGCTTGCTTGCTTGCTTGCTTGCTTGCTTGCTTGCTTGCTTGCTTGCTTGCTTGCTTGCTTGCTTGCTTGCTTGCTTGCTTGCTTGCTTGCTTGCTTGCTTGCTTGCTTGCTTGCTTGCTTGCTTGCTTGCTTGCTTGCTTGCTTGCTTGCTTGCTTGCTTGCCTGTTTGCTTGTGAACTTGATTGCTTGTTTACCTCTTTGCTTGTTCGCTTGTTTGCTTGTTGATTTCTTGGCAAGTCATACTTGCAGGCATCCGCTCCGCATCTCTCACGATCTCCAAGCGCTCACCTGGCTGCCTCTGTGGGCGGCACGGATCTGCTTGGGCTGTGCTGGATCCACCAGCGCCACGGCGTCCCGGCAAATACCTGGATGTTGGTGCGGGATGTCCACTGATTGTTCCACTCTTGTCGCACTCATGCATGACTTGGTTGGCATTCCCTTGCCATTCCTTTAGCATGCCTGAACGGGGAATTAGCTCATCAAGCTCCACTCCCCATGCAGTCTGAAACGCACCTCGTGTGACAACGATGAAAGTTGCTTGAGCAATATCACAACTAGCAAGCAAGCTCCTCAGTCTTCCTGACACTCACGATCAATCAATTTGCTGGTACGCCACTGACTGACAAAACATGATACCCCAGTTTCCACTAGATGCTATATGGATATTGGCCAGCCTCCCCAATTCTGCAAAAGGCAAGCGCAGATGACAAGAGGCAGTATTTGCGAAGACCATGTGCAGAAACCCCAAAACTAGCGCTATGTCTAGCGAAAACAGAAACTCCAGCATTTGCTTTGTTTGGTTGGACCCCAAATGAACCTTGGATCACAACAGACATCCAAGCTACTTTTTGATTGGACGTTTTCAGACTGCTTGCTCGACCCGGGCTCCAGCTCCGGCCAGTTGGGCGTACTCAGGGTCTGGTGGTTCAGGTACTCGTACCGAAGGCCGCTCATCTTGATGGTGGAGAGCTGACGGCCTGGCATTTCTTTTTTCTGCCAGATCCACCCAAAGAGCTGTCAGCGTGCCACTTGGGTTGCTTTGCGTTGGCTGGGGTGGCAGTTTTTTTTGTGCTTGGATTGGCTTGAGTTGCTGGCTTCGCGGGTAAGGTCCTAAGACGATTGGTATCGAAAGGAACATCCTCGAAACCACCCATGAAGGCCTAGCTGAGCGCAAAGTGCAAAAAGAAACACAAATGGGTGTGGCTCAAAATTAAACAGGAGGGGTTACGCAGGTGTTGGTCCATGCTTTCACATACCAGGGTTCCAGTTTGGTACCGGTTTTTGAAGCCACAGCCAAATCAACCATTCTCAACGAATGAAAAGACCACCTCAATGTGTCAAGTTGCAAACCGCAGGGAGGGCTAAATAAAAAAAGAACTCGCCCGCCATCTTCTTGCAGGGCACTGCTTGTGCAAGGCTTGCGTTGAGTTGTTTGCTACAGTTGTGCTTGGGCTGCGTTGTAGAGTATGGCATGCTTAGAGCTTCTTGCAAGGCATTGCTTGTGTTGCTTAGCAATGATTTGCTTCCATGGCATTGATTATACAGCACCTCTTGCAGCGCGATGCTTGCACAGGTTCACTTGCATTTCATTGCCTGGCACAGTCGCGCTTGTATTGGTCTCTTGCAGAATCCTGTGTATTTTTCCCTGCTTGCACAGGTCTGGCAGGTTGATGCCCCAACATCCAACACGAAACATGTTGTGTTCGCACGACTCTTTGCGCTAAGCCTAGCGTGCGGCGCTCTCGCAGCTCCGAGCCGCAACTAGCGCTCCCTACGTCGACTGACACTCCGCTGGTGCTACTCGCGCAGCACCACTCTCGCGCAGCACCAGGTCCATATACATTCCATTCTCCAGCTGGGTCTGGCAAGGGTGTTCTTAAAACGCAAGCCCTGATGCCTCTACCCAATCAATTGATACTCAGGCTGCTTGGTGCAATAGTACGCTCTTGGAAAGCGAGCTTTAGACCATAGGGATCGTCCCAAACCACATCCCGGCCACCCACCCACCCCCCACGACCCATGGCGTTGCCCAAAGTTGCCCAAACCCATGCAACTGCCCTCGACCAATCCCTTGCACCGGCACCTTCCCCTTAGACTCTTTGTCTCTCAGACTGTGGCGGTCCAGCCCCTTCCTTGAACCCTTACTGCAGCAGCTCTCCAGCTGACCTGAAACGAGCCCGCACCTTTAGCTCTTTGGGCTTCACCTAGCCCCAGCAGCTTGCCCATGGACTATGGCTTTAACTCTGGCCCTCAGGGCGGCTACAGTGCACTGTGGGCCCAGCCCAGTTGCTTGCGCAGAATGTGGACACGCCTTCGTAGTTGATGATCTGAATTCCGTTGGCATCCACCAGGGCGAAGTGGTGCGGGCACCTCAGCCAGCGAGCCAAGCGAGCCTGAGAGTAGCACCAATAGAAAATCGCACAAGCAACAAAGGTCCACGGGTAGCAGCCGCACACCTGCATATGCAATTGCATCCCATTCTACTCTATATGCACCTACATGCACATGAGTTTATGCGTGAGAAATCATAAGGCATCTTGTGGGCTCCTTCTACATGGGCCGACACCTTTCAAGCTATGGATCGTAATCAAAAGAGCAAGAAACCCCAAACGCGCGCCGAAGGCTGCGCCCTGAACAAAAAGAGGTGGATTGACCGTGGTTAATCCCTCAGCGGTTCAGGGGGTTGTCTCTAAACTCTAGTTCCGCACTCAGCGCCCTTTTTTCAGTGAGCGCTTGAGCCAAACGGCGTTTGCCGTTTGACAAGTCTGTCATGTCATGCAACCCTCAACCTAAACCAAAGTGGCCTCATGCAAACCTCACGCCAGTGAACACACAACTAGGCAAGTTACCATGCCTTTGGGGGCAAGGGGTCGTTATTTCTTGACTCCCCCCTCGCCGTGCGCACTAAGGCAGGGTAAGCTTTTGCTTTGGAGCGCGATACGCTGCTCCCTGGTCATCAAGGCTTTAAAAGGATGAAGGATATTTTGGCACTTTTAGTACTCATAGCACTGCTTTCGGAATGACTTTCTACTTTTTGATGTTGAATCGAGTATCTTCTAGCTCTTCTGGGAGGTCTGTGCGCATTCCCAGGAGCCTCAAGGCGTGATCCCACTTATGTGGAGGCAAAGCCTTGGTAAAGATATCGGCAGCTTGGAAATCGGTCTTCACATATTCAAGCTCTACTCCAGTGCCTTCCTGTAACTGTTCTGCAAGGGATGCTAGGTTAACCCTATGTGTCCTAGAAATTGATCGCAACTTCGAAGAGTGCCCTTTCCTTGCAACCAGAATAGTAGCTTGATTGTCTTCATGGATCCTGAGGGTCATTGGGCGACCCAATAGTCGATCCCACAGACTAAGTGTCGGGAGTCCCTCCTGATACAAAGAAAATGCTAACGACACAATCTCTGCTTCTGTAGTGGAACGCGACACAGAAGTCTGGCGCTTGCTAATCCACGCTAAGGGGAAGTGGGAATTCGGACCTTTCAGGGCGAGAAACCCCCCTGACGTGGACTTGGCCCCCTCCTCTCCTGCAAAGTCAGCGTCGACGTAGAGCGCAAGATGCAGCTCTCTGGGATCGTCTTGAACTGTGCCAACCAACCTGTGCGTTGTGGTCGTGTTAATGTAAGCTATTAGCCTAGCCAACTGCCTATCATTATTACGCGACCATTTTTGAACGCACGTTGCAAGATCCCCGATGGGCTTGATTATGTCTGGACGTGCAAGACGTCCCAACCACAAGGCCTTCATCAAGATTTTACAAGCGGCTGAGCTCAGTTCACCTGCTTCGGCATCATCTTGTGTTGGCAATGACCCTTCTGGACAGAATGGGGTCAATGCCTTGCGGAGCTTACTAATCGGCTGACCTGAAATGGAGACATATAGATCAACAGTTTGCTTGGCGTAGTCAACCATATCAAAAGCCATTGCGTTGGACAGCGCGCCAAAGGCTGCGCTCTCGGCTGGATTAGGCTCGCACTTCGGGGCGTTAATGATGACATGATTCCTTCCCAAAACACGATATATCGGTTCTGGGGGTTCAATATCAACACATGACATCAGCTTTTCCCAAAAGGGATCATGCTGCTCTGCCGGCCCTGAAAGTGTTAGATCATCCACATAAGTGGATAGCATTAAGCCGGTTGAGGGGAAGTAAAAGTTTCCTGGAAATTCTTGGATCTCCTCTCCGGTCTGCTCCTTCAAGATCTTCTTGAAGTGCTGCTCCCATAGCCCCCCCGCGTCGGGGTGACCGTAGAGTGCTTTTACTAGAAGGACTACCGGTTTTATAAACTTTTCTTTCCAGATTGAAGTAGGGCCTGGATATATGCCTTTACGGCGTCTGCCGCCGTGGTTTTGTGACCTGGCAGTGAGCCGTAGGCAAGGCAGTTGTTCAAACCCTGAACGGACGTAGGGTTGGCGCCGAGTTCTTGATAAAAGGCCGCCGCCCCATATTCGTCCCGCGCACAGTCCCCTCGGCATACTATACGCCCCTTCACTTTCTGTAGATGCTTTGCTAGCTCAAAGAATTTGATGGAGGCGATAGTCATTAGTTGCCCGAAGTGGACTTTAGTGTGCGTCCGTCGCGCTTCAGCAGCGACCTCTCCTTGCTCTCTCACGGTGCTGAGATCCCAGACTCCCGCATTACCTAAGCCGTCTGCTTCTTCCTTTATGGCCTGCAATGCCTCGGACGAGGCAAGCATTTCTGAACGTGAAAGAAGTTTTGTGACCATGGCGGCTATGTCGGGAGAAGTCTCCTGCTTTGGAATTCCCTGAATTTCCCTAACGAGATTTTCCAAGTCAAAGAGTTCTTCAAAGAATCTGCGGGAGGTTGGATCTGATTCAACAACTGACGCGAGAGCCCCAACACCCGAAAGTGCGGAGGTATGCTTCAAGGACTGCTCCTTTTCCCGATGCTCCTGTTGCACGATGACAGCCTGGACTGGCATTGCAGGCGCGCATGGTGTTGCGACATGTGGGTATAACGCACTAGCGATTATCTTGCACATTTCTTGTGGATAAAAGGCGGTGCGTGCAGTGTTGCTACCTGCGGCCTGTGCATGCTTGAAGGAGTGTTGGTGGGGGCATGTCCTATTCTGGAACCCATCATGAAGTTCCTTGGATGTGGTCATGAGACGCCACGGCTTCTTGATGTCCTTGTCAGTTAGGCCTACTGCACACCCGTGGAAAGTCACTGAGTGGAAGCGAGACGCGTGCTTCTCGAAGAATGCCTTTATGTCGGGGCGCTCCCATCCCTCGCAGTCGCGAGGCCACTCGAAAGTGACGTGACCCTCTTGTTCTATCACTACTTCGGCGTGCTTTGTGAACCTTGCGAACAACGCCTCCGATCTTTTAACCTGTGCACGGAGATACTGCTTGTATTTATTACCATACTTATGGACATTTAGCCTTTGCCATGGCGACCCGGAGGTACACGGAATGGCTGCCCACATGTTAGGCTTGCTACAAGACTGCAACTGAGCGGTCAGTTGCTCATCCCCTTCATTGGTTTCAAGATCGATGTGTTCTTTAGCCAGTCTCACGTGGGGAATGCCCAATGCTTGATGCACTGCTCCCATGGTGGAGTCACTTGAACATGCATACTCGAACATTACAGGCATAGAATTTCCCCGCGCGATACGCTTGCGGGCCCTCTTATTCCCTACGGAAAACTTTTTGCATGGCTCCCTTTTGGAACATGGCATGCCGAACACAGGCAGAGCCCGAGCCTCCCTCTTGGTGAAGGAGTCGGCTACGTGGCACGTGAGTGACGTGGAGGTTGCAGCGGTTGTTGTCACCGCCGCGCCAGTTGTGGCTGCAGGCGGCGCGGTTGGAGGAATCCCCCCTGGCCGAGACGGAGCTGGCTTGCCGCGAAGAGCATCATCATGCTCTTCGGATGCCCTCAGTGCTTTCTCGAGCTCATCGGGATCAGATAGATCTGCCTTTTCAAGGCGGGAAAGCTCAAGTGCCTTTTTAAGGTCGGCATCGTCTTCTTCGAGACGTGCCTCCTTGGCTGCATGAACTGGGTCACTCGCTTCGGAGGGGCGAAGTGACCGCTCTACCTCGACGGCAGCCGAGCGCTTGGAGCGCTCCTCGGCTTTCTCTGTATCGACAAGCCTTGCGAAGCGGCGTCGACATTCGGGGGTATGGTACCGGGTGCGCCCGGCACAACCTCGACAACCTGGTGTTTCACGGAACCGAATTATCACGCCTCGCGGCGTGCCTGGAGCGGGAGTCGGCGGTGCAGCTACTTCGCTAAACGGAACCTCTTTAAGAGCGACTTCTGGGAGGTCACCCTCGGCTTCCCCCGTCCGCAGCGCCTTGTGGGCTGCTGCCGCAACGGGGAAGCAAGGCTCACCTTCTTCAACGAAGAGTTCTGCTTCCGGGACATCATGCACTACAATCGCTCGACGAGTCCTAAATTCTTGATAATCTAGGACCTTGACCACATGGCGACACCGAAGGCCTGCGTCAACCCTCCAGCCCAAAAACAAAGCAGGTGCCAAGTTGGGTTCTAGAGTGCGCTTATTAATGCCCTTTTTACGGTAATAAACAAGCTGACCAAAGCAATGCCTAATGCCATCGAACTTCGACTTTGTCAAGGCTTCCCATTGGGTCTTAGCCTTGTCGAATGTTGCAGGTCTGTCGAATGACATGGAGAGGCACGCAAAGGGGTAGGAGTGAGTGTGTAGATCGTATGGCAACCCACTCTGGAGGTGGATGGATCTGCAACATTCCTTTTCTTCCCTAATGTCCCTTTCCAACTCGGCATTGTGGGGCCATCGGTTCGGCAGCGAGGTTTCGGGTGTTAATCCGACCTCATGAGCTGCCGCTTCAAGCTCTCCAGCTTCATCCATTTTGACCAGACATGTCGGAGAGAGCTCGTTGGCTTTCAAACCTAGGAAGTGCCTTAGATTTTTGGAATGGGCTGCTGTGTCCCTTTTGGATACAGGATATGCAATCCTTGCTCCAGAGAAAACATCCCTGATGACGTGGTGAGATTTAATCCCTCCGACTCCAATGCCCGCATGTTCATCTCCTTTCGCAAGGATGACACTGTCAGTGGCGAGCTGTTGAAACGGGGCAGTAGGATTGTCGATCCCGTCATCGGCAACCTTGGTCGGCGACCGTCTTGCCGATCGATTGTGCTGGAGGGCACTCCTTGAGGACATACACCTGTTCATCCGGAGGGATTACATTGCTGTCCTGGAAGGCTAGGGACGTATTTCCCTGTTGTGCACCTCCACCGGTCGCGAATCCGACGGGTGTCGAACTCGGCCGGACGCACTTGTGCAACTGCTAAGGGCTTGCCGCCCAATGAGATGCCTGCCAGCTGCAGTATCCCACAACCAAGTCACCTTATTATCGGTGATGGC